AATAATAATAATAATAATAATAATAATAATAATAAAGGGCAATTACGTTGTTCTAGGAGGATCTTTGCCAAGAGGGGACACCATTTCTGATAGGTGTGTTTTCTGAAGACAGGAGCTATTTGTCAGCAATCTGTGTTACTCAAGAGACATCCTCCAGGTCCAGAATATAAAATTTTTACCAGGCAGGGGCTCTCTAGGTGCACAGATGTCTTTTATCATAATATCCTACCCTATTCTCAACATCTTTAGGATAAAATATGAACTATTTAACTTTTTCACTTGGCATTATAGGCCAGTGAAACAAGCACTATTCTGAGACAGAATATCTGACTTTTTCTTTTTCTTTTCACTACCTATCAGTTATTTGCCTTTAAATTATTTACTAAATGAATTGCCTGACCTACACTCTATATCAGAAACTGTACAATAATTTTCTCAAATGAAAACCAAGTTATTGTTTTAATTAAACAGTAACACATATCCATAGGAAAAATATGTATTATTCAAGGATAACCCAATAATAATGTAAACATTTAGAATTAGAGAGTTCTATGTACAGTTTTTCCATATCGGTTCCTTTAAAGAATTTTTTAAAAATGTTGAATATATATTTCAAATTTTTTGAGTCAGAACTGTTTTCTTAAAGGCCATTGCTTGACCAGATGCTTAATAGGAATTAAAAAATATTTATTGGTTCTGACAAGAAATGTAAAAGTAGACTTAAAGCATCCATGACTAATTTCATCCACCAGAACATTTTATTACCCTTGTCTGAAAATTGGTGTCAGCCTCAATAAATTACTGAAGTTATAAATGTTTGGTAAATAGTACAGAGTGTGGCACTATTAGCATGGGACCCTCAGGAATTGTGTGATAGAAACAAGGAAATGTATAGAAAAATATCTGCTCTCTGGAGTATATTGTCTTCTTTATTTTTGTAATTTAACATTTCAACACTGTAGTAAATAGAAAGAAGTATGTAGGCCATTTGTTCACCAGATTGTAAACATCTTTTCAGATCAAAAGTTAACAGGAACAAAGTTATATGTGTGTATTAGGTGCTAAAAAATTAGCTGCAGCTGAATCATTCATAAAATTAGTGTGGGTTCATGGTACGTCAAACATGCAAAATTGCGTGCCAATTTCTGCCTCAGTCTAGTTTGCAGTCAACACACATAAGAAAGTTTTATATTTTCCCTTCTCTTTCAGGCATCAACTCCCAGTTGGCTTATAGCATTGCTTCAGGTGATAGCCTGGAGCAGTTTACAGTTGACCAGAAGGGCGTACTCAAAGTCCTAAAAGCTTTGGATCGGGAAAGTCAGTCCTTCTACAACCTGGTTGTTCAAGTTCATGACCTGCCACAGCTTCCGGCGTCCAGATTCACTAGCACGGCTCAAGTCTCCATCATCTTGCTGGATGTAAATGATAACCCACCGACTTTTCTCTCCCCGAAATTGACATACATTCCAGAAAACACACCTATTGATACAGTTGTTTTCAAAGCTCAAGCAACGGACCCAGACAGTGGCCCAAACAGCTACATTGAGTACACCCTGCTGAGCGTCCAGATTCACTAGCACGGCTCAAGTCTCCATCATCTTGCTGGATGTAAATGATAACCCACCGACTTTTCTCTCCCCGAAATTGACATACATTCCAGAAAACACACCTATTGATACAGTTGTTTTCAAAGCTCAAGCAACGGACCCAGACAGTGGCCCAAACAGCTACATTGAGTACCCCCTGCTGACCCCTTTGGGAAACAAGTTCAGTATCGGGACCATTGATGGGGAAGTGAGGCTCACTGGAGAACTGGACAGAGAAGAGGTCTCTACGTACAGCTTAACAGTGGTGGCTACGGACAAAGGCCAGCCAGCTCTCTCTTCATCCACAGAGGTTGTAGTTAGGGTTCTTGACATCAACGATAACAACCCAGTTTTTGCTCAGGCTTTGTATAAAGTGGAGATTAATGAAAATACACTTACTGGAACAGATATAATACAGGTTCTTGCAGCTGATGGAGATGAAGGTACAAACGGACAGGTTCGCTATGGCATCGTTGAGGGCAATGCCAATCAGGAATTTCGGATTGACTCTGTCACGGGCACTATCACTGTGGCTAAGCCTTTGGATAGAGAGAAGACCCCTACTTACCTCTTAACTGTTCAGGCAACGGATCGGGGCAGCACCCCCAGAACTGACACCTCTACTGTCAGCATTGTTCTACTGGATATTAATGATTTTGTCCCCATCTTTGAGCTCTCTCCGTATTCAGTAACTGTTCCTGAGAATTTAGAGACCCTGCCCAAAACCATTCTTCAGGTCAGTATACTTAACATTTTTTTTTTTTTTTGAGAAGTTTTTGCTATAGGGCACGTGCACTTGCCAGAAAGACAGAGAGGTATGCAGTGACTGAGAGACAGAAAGTGAGAAATCACCTCCCAGGGGGGATGGCCACGCCACAATCCCTTCTCCTCCATTCTCCTCTCGGGATCTTGGGCACGTATGCACACGCGCCCGGCGTGAGTTTAAGCCACTGGGTTCGGGGCTCCAACCACAGTTGACCACATGGGAGCTCAGCGACATAGCCATTAGGCTAACTGCTGGTCCCCAGGTCGGAATACTTAGATAAAACAAGCACTGTGTTCACTCTGAGACAGCTAGTTGAAAAGCATCCCCCCTCTTTTGCAATATCTGTGTTTTTCCTATTTTTTTCCTTGTTCTCATCCATAAATGTCCAGTTGCAGATGTAGCAAAGTTGGAAAAGAAAATGTTTCTGAACAGTGTAACCAAGAACTTAATTGATTTTCTCAGATTGAAATATTGCATTTCAATTACATTGTATGGTGTATTAGAACACATCTACGCATTTGAGTATCTTTGAATTTTGTTTCACTGTGAAAGTAATTACCTGTACATAGTAAGATAATAAATTGTTATAAAACGGTTTTTTTAGTCTTTTCTTTTTAGAGAGAAATTTTTGTGATAGGGTGTGTGCACTTGCCAGAGAGACAGAGACAGAGAAAGCGAGAAATCATCCACACTGCCAGGGGCAATGGCCATGCTGCAATCGTTTCTTCTCCATTCTCCTCTCAGGATTTTGGGCATGCACATGCACCCAGTGTGGATTTCATGATCAACCACATGGGAGTACAGTGCCTTAACCTCTGTGTCACCAGCTGGCCCTGATATAAAAGCTTTAAAAATTTATTACAAATACTAGTCCCTTTTCCTCCTTCATACACTTAACTACCTAAATGAAATTGCTATTAACATTTTGTGCAGTCTTCCAAATATGTTATGTATCATTTTATGTGTGTTTTTACATAAATAGCCCTGTGCAATCCATACTATTCTGTACCATTTTCAGATTTTTAATTTGAGAAATTAAAAAATACGTCTTTGGAATGCTTTGTTATGGCTCTACCTCGTTGTTTTTAATGAATACGTTGTGTTTCATGATATGCACTGTATTCATTTTACTCAACTCCATGACACATACTATGCTCTCCAATAGGTTGTGGCAAGAGATGATGACCAAGGTTCTAACAGCAAACTCTCCTATGTTCTACTTGGTGGAAATGAAGACAACGCCTTTATCCTCTCAGCCAACGGAGAACTTAGTGTCACACAGAGTCTGGACCGAGAGACAAAGGAGCGCTTTGTCTTGGTGATTACAGCTACAGATTCAGGCAAGTGAACAAGCTCCTCATGACTGAATGAAAGTATTTTTTGTTTACCATCAAATTCAATATTTGTTAAAGTTTACTAAACGGATTGCATCTATATAATTTACACCACAAAAATCACCTTATAAAATGTATATATAATGTAAGAAGAGCTTAAATGTATCACAAGCAAAGCTTTATTCCTTTAAGAGAGAAAGCATCCTTGCCTGTAAGGCACCTGAGTACCTGCCAGTGTGGCCCTACACTCTCCCACCTGAGTCAGGAAACATGTGCAGTACTTCAGCTCTGAATACACCAGGTGGGCCTCACCATCTAATCACTTCTTGTAGACATGGGTGAGTCAGTCTGTAGGGGGGAAATTTCACAAGAAGGTGGTTCAGTCTAACATTGGTATCGGGGTGCAGGCTGCTCCAGAACGGAATCCTGGTTCCACAGAGCTAAACTGGATATATTCCAGCAGTCATCAGCCTTTGAAATTGGAGAAAGTTGGGGAGTTAGAATTCTTAATATAAGGACAAATGTAACATAAGCCTAACTCAATGAGGAACAGTTGCCATTAAATGAGAACTATAAAGACCAAGTAAGTGGAGCTAGCAGATGGTGTAGTGGTTATATCACTGGATTCCCACATGGCTAATTACGGTTCAAGTCCTGGACCTGGTGACTTGAAAATCATGCCAGGCACCTGTGTGTGTATGCCCAAGATCGCAGGAAAAAGATGGAGGTGAAGGGATTACATTGTGGCCATTCCCCGGGAGGTAATTTCTCAATTATCCTCTCTCACTGTCTCTGTTACTCTCTTTCTGGCAAGCACAAATGTGTGAAGATTCCTCCCAATATTGACTTAAAATAGAGTTATGAGTGAGTCTTAGTTACGAAGAGTGAAAATGGAGATTATCAGGATAGTTAAGGTATTTGAAAGTCTGTCATTCAGTGCCTTAAAAATGATGCCAAGGAGCATGACAGGAGGCATAAATTAATTTCAGTGACCATGGTGCTCTTGGTCACCATCCTGAACATTAAAGAATTAATTGAAGGTTGTCCCAAATATCCCAAAGTACAGCCAAGTGTTTCTTTGTTTCATTTTTTGAGTCACCTTGAAATGCACTGGTGTTTCTGAAGCCATTGGTAGAAAAGTGTACAATTTAATGTCTGAAGCAATCAGAAGTTGTCAGGAAAGTTGGCTAGTTGATGTTAAAGTCATAAAGTTCCTAGGTGACCACTATTCTATGCTCTGTTAATTCCCTTGAGACCATGAACAAACCACTTATTTGGGGAGACTGGGAATTTTACATATCAGAGTTCAACACCTACAGTTGAATCGTCTTTTCCAGGAATAAGATCTTTGAGACAAGACATAAAATACATATTCACTGCTATGATTTAAAAGTCAAATTAGTAGATGACATGAGAAAATTCTAAAAAAATATGGCAGCTTTTAGATCCCAGATGCCATGTTACTCTCAAATATGTAGTGTTCTAAGGATCAGGAAAATATCAAAGTTTTCTAAAGAGAAGAAGGTTGGCAGTTTTATTTCTTATCTCATAAATCACTTTTTCTTTGCTCTTTTTAAATTCTTACCTGGTGTCTGCGGAAAGATAGGTCAACTTCGGTAATCTGGCAAGAATTGAAGTGGCAGCTTTTTAATCATGCAGACCTCTAAATCTTGGGAAACATTTTTTTTTTGAGGAAACATTAGCATTCTAATTTTATTTACTGACTGTCTGGCTCTGGAGTAGCCCATCTGGAAACTCTCTAACTCCTCCTGTCTACTGTTCAAATAAGCTACAGTCACATGTGTGGAACTGGATGATACGTCACTAAATAGCAAAACCTTAGAAGGGTATAACCATTCTGGCTCACTTTTTCCCATAGGATTAAATTATTAAATAGAGTCCAACTCAATTAAAGATGATATTTTAACTATAAATTAAACATATGGCTATTCTGCCTTCATTATGTATTACTTGCTGTTATTTCTTCTAGAAATAAGTACTATAACAAGTAGATATTCCTAGGCAAAAGTACTCTCCTGACACAATATGCGGGTGCTTCTGTGTGGTTTATTCTAGGAGGGGAACTTGCACTAAGGTGTTGATGTCCCTCACATGGGTGGGCATTCTGTTCCTAAGTAACTGTCCTCTCAAGAGCTTGCCTTATCATTTCCTCTTATGTGCAATTTAAAAAACTACATTTTCTATGTAGTAAGAAGCAGGAAATTATCAGGGAAACCAGCACAGTGTACTTCAAAAAATTCAAAACAAGAATTAATTTACAAAATAGAAGTATATCCAGCAGGTCAAAATATAGACTTTGTAGTTAAGCCTAGGTTCAAATCCCACCTCTGCTGTTTCCTACCTACCTGACCTTGGACAAGTTAGCTATACCATTATGTTCATATCTACAAGTGGGAATACTCAGGCCTACATGAAAATTTATTGACTGAAACAGATAAGGCAGAGCTCATTGTAGCTATTAATCTTGGGCAACCTGTTTGCTAGATATCTCAACTTTGGTAAGTCCAAGGTAAAACTTCTTGACTTCTACTCACCACTCTGCCCTCCATGAATTGCCCTCTGTCCACACTTCATAATGGCTGACAACAAACCTCATTATCATTCTTCGTTTTTCTCCCTTTGTCCCCTACCTTCAGCAAGTCCCTTAGCAAGTAGACTCAGTGCTGGAGAAGATGAATATATCTATATGTTACACACTGTATGCTTGTCTTTAAAAACCATACAGTGGGCCAGAATGTGGGATGGTGGTGAGGGCACTGGACTTGCACATGGCCAACCATGGGTTCCTGACTTGTAGCTTGAAAATCACGCCAGGTGCATGTGTGTGTGTGCCCAAAATCCCAGGAGGAGAATGGAGGAGAAGAGATTGCAGAATGGGCATCCCCCTGGGGGCTGATTTCTCACTTTCCCTCCCACTGTCTCTCTAGTGAGCACATACACCCTATGGGAAAACCCTTAAAAAAAAATAAAAGCCATTCTGTACCATGCTAAGATATACAATGATTATATACAAAACAGAAATCACAATAACTTTTTTAAACTGTCAAGAAATAAAATTCATCACCATGAAGCAAAAATAGATAAGTAGATATAGAGAAAAATGGATAGATAACAAATAAAGCAATTGATTTTAAAAAATCCCAAAGTGTTGAGTGTATTGGCTTTTCTTCATCTCCACTGCTACCTCCTTAGTCTCACCCAGGTCTAGTATAACAGCTTCCTACCTACCTATTTTTAATCGTGCACAGTGTGCTAACTGACGAATGACTCTTTTTTTTTTTTTTTTTTTTTTAGGTTTCTACCACAGGGTGCGTGCACTTGCTAGAGAGAGAGAGAGAGACAGAGATAGTGAGAGGAAATGTGAGAAATCACCCGCCCCAGAGGGAATGGCCATGCTATAATCCCTTCTCCTCCATTCTCATTCTGGGATTTTGGGCATAAATGCATAGATGCATGTGTATCCAGTATGAATTTCAGGCCACTGGGTCCGGGATTCAATCTGGGAACTGCCATGTGGGAGTTCTGCACCTTAACCACCATGCCATCTACCGGCCCCTAAATTATATTTTGAAGATTATAAATTAGGTGTCCCTACTCATAGCTTACTTAAAACCTCTTTCATGATCTACAGGAAACTAAATTATACACCATTGACCGTCTGGCATTGGCTGCCCCAGCCTCTGCCCATCTGTCTGACCCCTTCTACCACACCTTGCTTGCTGCCTTTATCTTGTACCAACCATGGCACACTGGCCCCAGGTCAACAGCAGCCCCCTCCCAACCCTGTGTTCAATGTCTTCACATTCACAGAATCTAACAGAAGTATTTGGCAGAAGTATTTGTGCCACAGAAATCAGCAAATACTTCAGATGAGGGTGGCTTCTTTTTATACACACTGTTGATGCTTTTCCTCTGCCCTTGGCTCTTTGCACTTGTAATTCTCCCTTCCTGTCCTGTCTGCTCTGCTGTATTGTTTGTATTGTCCCAGCCTGAGTGGAGAAGGGGGTTGAGGAGTATTTATACCTTGATCATTTGTCATTATATCTAGAGAAACTTTCAACTTCCCAGAGAGGACTTATCTGGCCACCAAACTAATGCCCCGCCCCCCTTCTCTTCCCAGAGTGACTCCCTATCACTCTGCCTTGTTATTTCTTCTCCATGTTAATTGCAATCTAAAATTCCACGTTTATGTATGCAAGTAATGTATGTGAGTATCTATAGTTTGTTTAACTCGTTGATCTCTACCATCTTTCCAGTAGAATGCAACCATTTGGTCTCCTTCAAAACTGAATTAACAGAAACACTCAAAACAGGGCCTGTGATATAATAGGTACTTAATAAATGTTTGTTGAGTGAACAGATGATTTAATGAGTGAAAAATGATAGTAGTTATCATTTAATCACCAACCCATTCTTTTAATATCAACTGTAATTCAGATTTAATTTAAATACTTACATTTCATGTATTATTACATAGTCATCTCTTATACAATTTTTAAAGGACCTTCCAAAAGGAAAAAAATGCAAATCTTTTGAACTCATGGCTGAAATTCCAGAAGTTTTGGCTACATTGGTTGTGTTTATTCACACTGACCCCTGCCTTGAACTGTAGCACAGGTTATTTAAGTCTCCGCAGTATTTGTTATGATGTGATAAATTGTAATCGTATGTAAAGCATTTCATGGCTTTAATTCAGATTCAAATGGTTAAAAACACTGTTAGAGCTACCTTGTCGTGACTCTCGCCTGCTCTTTTTGGCTCTGATTCAGTTCTGTTATCTAGTAGATATTTCTGGGCAAGTCTCATTTCTCTGCTTTGCTGTTTCCCTTTTCATAGCTTGATTCACTAATTCAAAATCTGCATAAATAGAAACTGTGTGCTTTTGAAAAGTTTTATCATTTGGCAATCTTTTGTGTCTGGGCTTCCTAAAGCAAAAGAAAATAGCGATGCCTTCCATATCTCCTAAGTATCCAAGCATATATGCA